TCAAATATCCCAATAATCTGAAGAAGACGAGAGAGAACAGAGGAATAAGCTCAGGGAGGACAAACACACCAAAAATAGTAAATTGATAGACCAACATCTAACTAATCTATCATTACTTATGTAAAACTATCAAGGGACTGAACATTCTCCTTAAAAGGTAGAGATAATTAGATGAATTAAACAGGAAGACAAAACTATGTGTGATCTATAAAGGAAGCATCTCTCCAAACATTTTTTTTCTTTTGAAGTAATTATAGACTCACAATAAGTTGCAAAAATGGTACAGAGAGGTCTTGTGCACCCATTACCCAGCCTACTCCAATGGGGACATCACCCATAATTGTGAATTGTCAAAGCTAAGACATAAATTGGCAGAGTAAAATCAGACCACAAATTATAAGGAAAGCATTGTAAATATAAAGAGACACAGAAAGGTTGAAAGCTAATGAATGGAAAAACATAAACTATGAAAGTATCAAGAGTAAGGAGGCTGTAGTGGCAATATTCGTTTCAGATAAAAAAAAGAATATATTATCAAATAGAAAGTGGGATGCTGCGTAACATGTTTACACATTAACTGATTGAAGTGAAGGGGGAAACAGACAGTTCTACATTCAGAGCAGAAGATTTTGATATCACTCTTCTCAGCAAAGGGTAGACCCAAAAGTTAGTAAACACAAAGTTGACCTAAACAACTCTATTACTGTGTTGACTGAATTGATATTTACACAATACAACATAAAACAACTGCAAAATACACACACACACTTTTTTCAAGTACATATGATACATTCATCCAAATAGATCACACACTAGGCCATAAAACATTCATATTTTTGTTGAATTATCGAGTTCTCCCTTCAATGTGTCAGTTCTCACTTCATGTATTTTGTGGTTCTTGTTTGTTTTATACATGCTTATCATTGTCATGTCTTCTTGAGGGGTTGATGCACCTCTCACTATACAAAGTTCTCTTGTCCCTAGCTCCATGTTCTTTTATTCTTCTACTTTTGACCTCTTCATTTCCTTGAATCTAAAGTGTGTCTCTTGCACACAGCATATAGTTGGATCTTTTTTTAAAAAAACTCCATTCTGCTAGGCTCTAACTGGAGTGTTTAATCCATTTGCATGTAATGCCATAATTGATGAGGTAGGATTTACATCTGCCATTTGCTGTTTTCTTTTTTATTTATTTTTTTTTAGAGACAGAGAGAGAGATAGAGCCTGGGGGTGGGGGACAGAGGGAGAGGGAGAGAGAGAATCCCAAGCAGACTCCATATCTAGCGTGGAGCCCGACATGGGGCTCAATCTCACGACCCTGAGATCATGATCTGAGCCTAAATCAAGAGTCAGATGCTGAACCGACTGAGCCACCCAGGTGCCGCCTGCTATTTGTTTTCTACATTATTTCTCCCCCACCCCATTCCTGCATTACTGTCTTCTTTTGTGTTAAATAGATATTTCCTGAGGTACCATTTGAATTCCCTTGCCATTTGTGGTGCTATGTATGTTTGAGTTATATTATAAATGACTTGGGGGTTTGCAATCAATTTTAAACAATCTAGTTTGAATTAATAATAACTCCATTCCAATGGTGAACAAAAACGTTACCCTGTATAGCTTGATTTTCTCCCATTTCTTTTGTGCTGTTAGAAAGAAGTTGGAGTTTTGAAGTATGAGAGACACTCTGCCTGGCCTTGAAGGAGAAAGCTGCCTGTTTATGGAAAGAGCCACAGGGCAAGGAATGCCAGGCAGCCTGTGTGTGCTCAGGACAGCCTCCTGGCTGACAGCCTGCAAGAGGACAGCCACCCACCACAGGCCGACAACTGCAAGTGACAGAATTTTCCCCAAAGCCCCAGAGCAGGTGCAAGGGGATCTCTTGCCTCAGATTAGATGAAAGTCCCAGCCAACCCCATGCTGTCAGTCCCGCGAAACCCTGAGCGGGGCTCCAGCTACACCATGCCTGGACTTGGGACCCACAGAAGTGTGAAAGAATGTGTGGTGTTTTAAGCCGCTAGCTTTTGTGGTACTTTGTGACCCAGTGAAAGAAACGAGTGCAAGAGTATTCCAAGGTAGATCGCCTTTTGGGGAACACACTGATGTGTTCTTTTGAGGTTCCTGTGTGGCCCACAGCCTTGCACAGTTTCCTGAATGGTTGATGTTCTTTCTGGTCCATCTTAAGAATCTCCCTCCACCCCTCACCTCCCAGGGCTGTATCCTAAAACCACTTACTACTGAGTCCCTTTGCTTTAGCAGGGCACAGTATTTGGGAGTTTCCTATAGGATGGTTTCAGCCCAGTGATCTTGTGTAGCGTTTGCTTGGTCCATGGGAGCCACGCCCCTTTTGCCCTGCCTAATACGGTAAATGCAGCCACCCCATGGCTGACCTTTCTGTCCTGCCACTGTGGACAACTCCAGCTGGAGTTCTTTGCCTGCAGATACTGTCAGGTGTGAGCACGACAGGGCAGAGTGTTGAGTTTTCCAAGTAGCTGCTTGAAATGAAGCCCATCTCATAAGGATTGATGTGAAAGTGTTATTTTCCTTGAGAGCCAGAGTGAGGTCCCAATCACAGCACAGCAGCCCATTTTCCAAAGAAATCTGTCCCCGAGCTTTCTTTGATACCCTCCGGGCACAGGAAGAAGGCTAAGTGTTTCAGAGCACATTTTGTGGTCAACTTCTTTACTATTCCTGCATCTGGGGTCCGGTACTTCAGGGGGGAATGTGGGAAAAAATGATACTTAATGTTTTGTCCTCAGCCCAAACTGATCAATCTTACTCCACAGGCACTGCTGCTCCCTTTCAGCTATGGGGAAAGAGTTCTGAAATGGAACCCCAAACCAAGAAGGGACAATGCACGGTTAGCATAGTTAGACCAGAGCCACGGTTTCAAAATCAATGGAGGTAAAGTCATGCTAAGCAGGAGCATTATGTAGACTAGAGTGGAGATACTTCAGGGAAAAACCAGCTGCACCAGTGTCTCCTCTTCCTGACCATTTCCCTCTGACCCGTCCACCATGTAGGAGACTTTCCCTTTCAGAAAATCCAGCAGACTGATTTTGGAGATCTCCATGAGTTACTATGGAAATCAACAGAAATTTATCTGAAGAAGCCAAGGGCAGCCACTTGACCCCTGAAAGTGCTGAATTTAATAAGAAATTAGTATGGGTTGAGACTTTATTATTTTGTAGGGAGGACTGAGTGTCTCAGAACTGAGTGGATGAAAATGTCCTAGAAGGAAGCCAAGTGAAGAAGAGAGGAGAGAGCAAGAGGAAGAGAGAAGGAGTAATTCCTGAGTAGGCGAGCATCTATGGGATGCTGTACAAGGTAAAGAGTAAAGGAACATCAGGGCAGAGCCACCCGTCCACCTCTCTGTATGACTCTGAGACATGCACATGACTCCTTCCATAAAAGAGACATCAATTAGAGTCCAGGGTGTTTTCAGTTTGGGGAATCAAGGAATGTGGTGTTTGGAATGAGCAGGGAGTATCTGGTCTCATGGTCCTCTGTAAACCATCAACGGTACTCTCGCTGTGGAGAACTGAGGAGGAGCACCCACTCGCAGATGATCACTCACTTGTAGATTCCTACGTTGCCCCACTGCCCACTTCCCTGAGTTAATTCCTGTGAAAACGAGGGAAATACTCTCAGGTTGGCAAAGGTGATGACTCAGGTCTCTTTTGGAGGACAATTGATCAAATGTCAATTGATCTGACAGTAGAGCCCACGGAAAAGCCCAATCGGTCAGGCTCCAGGCATGAAAACAGCTCCCACACCAGGTAGTTTGATAGAGATGATTTCACTCGGAGAGAAAGTGATGAAGTGTCGGAAAAGCTGAACATGCAAAACGGGAGCCATGAGGCAGCCCCAGGGTTAGCCCTAGCTGGCTGGGGGAAAAGCGGGAGGCTGTGGTGTGAGCCCAGGAGCCAGGACTAGCTGGCGGGAGCTGTGCCTGCAGGGGCAGAAAGGAGGGAGAAGCCAGGACACAGAAGCAGGGGCTTTGCTCTGGGAGATGAGCCACTGACGGAGCACCTTCTCCCACCATGCACCCGCATCGACAGGCGCCGGCCGGAAGCCAGGAGGTGTGGAGACGGGAGTTTGCAGAGAGCAGTGCCAGCGCTCAGAGCAGAGCAGGGGAAGGGCAAGGAATGTATCGGAGTGCGAAGCGACAGACGATACGATGGTAGCTCAAATGTGAAGCAAAACACTGTCAGCCACCCATGTGAAACCCAAGTGATCAAATTTGAGGAGCTGCTCATAGGACGAGTAATTCTGACCTTTACTGTGTGAAGCTACAAATTTTATTTCATAAGGCAAAAGTTATACAGTCAACCATTCATTCATAGTCCAGACTGAGCATTTTAAATTAATCTCTGACATTTTCATTTACTGGCAAGAAGAGAAGTGCAAAGTTGGTGGCATGGACATTAACTGAGTAGGTATGATTTGCTTTAAAAATGCACCGTAAGTACTAGAATCGATGACTGACAGTGTGCTGATATTTCTAGTATGCTGTAGAATTATAATTCCATTAACACAGATGCAGATGCCGTCTCTGTTTATCTGTTTGGTTAAAATTATTACACAGAAATAGATACACAGCACATGACAGGGGTGAACACAACTTTTCTGGCTCCCGGGCTGTGACCTTGAAGAAATGAAAGCTTCTCCGAGTCTCAATTTCTTCAAATACAAATGGAGATAATAAAATCATTAGATGATCTTAAGTCATAGGAGGAAAGTTTGGGGGAAAGATTTGAAAATTATAAGGTACTCTACAAATACATAGTAGTAGTATCTGAGTAGGTTATCAGCTACCCACTCGGATCTTGATTTTTTAAGGATTATCTTAAAACATAAGCAAAGAAACAAAACAAAGGGAGAGAGACATGAGAATGATTCCAAGACTCACTCCCAGTGTAACTGGGTAAGGCACACAACTTCTCTTGTCCTCCCTTGAATACCAAGTCCTCCTTGGAAGGCCAGGAGAGTGCTGGCCTGCTTCACCTGATCTTCCGTCGGCAACAGAAGAAGTTCATCTTGCAATTTCCAACAACCTTCTCATCCTCGGTGCATATCCTTCTGCATTTGCCCCGGCCGAGCCTGCAAGGCTCACAAGCAGCAAACTCACCTAGGCCAACAAAGAGCAGCTGATACATCTCTCCAGGGACTCCCTGGAAACGGGGAGAAGGTCAAAAGCCACCAAAAAAAGGGGGAGGGTTTCTATGGTCATAAAGAGTGTTTTTAAAGAACCAGCCCTGATTTTTCAAAGGGCTCTACTTTCTTCAGGATGGAGTTGGGGAAGAGTTAATGTTGAAGCAAGAGGTGGACGCCATCCCTGCTCCCCGTGCCTTGCGTGGGTCAAAAGTAGGCAAGCGCAGTGGGATGAAGTGTCATGTATATGGCAGAACATACATACCTGATACTTCTGTAAAGGTTACAGGATGAAGGTGGGAGGGCTACCTTGTGGTTTGAAAAGGTCCTTGAAGGTAGAGGTAAAGTTAGGTTCAGTTCTGGTTTGGGCCTGGTAACGGTGGTGTGTCCTCAGTAAACTGCCTGATCTCAGCTTTCTCATTTGTCATATGGACATTCTAGAAATACTTGTCTACATTGTAAATTTCTCTAGTGGTCAAATGGAGTAATTTATGTGAGAATATTTTGCCAAACACTATGTCCTCCATTAGTTATTTTTGTTGTTGTTTACTTTAATCAGAAGCTTTTTTATATGACTGCAAAAAATTTTTCAGGGTAACTTTCACGGACCAGGAAGGTAGGGCCTTTGCCAGCCAAGAATCCGTTATCTGCTGGTCTGGTTCTCCAAGGGCAACATTTATGTTGTAACCCCTTATTCTCTTTCCTATTAACCACCCTCTTCTCAGGAACCTCAGAACTACATGGAAGCTTACAGGTTTCGCTCTCTACTGCAACCTTTCATTGGGCTCCTTGACAGCCCATTTGCCGGTCCCCGGGGCCATTTCAGGCTTTATGCTTCCTGTCTCACCACCTGCTCCTCCCTCTCACATCATTGCTCAGTAACGGGCCCAGAATTGGTCCATTCCTGGGCTGCATTCCATCCCCTTGATGCTGGATCTCCTGAAGTTGCCCACCTAACTTCTGAACACTCACCCAGAGACTCTTTCTGTTCATGCTAATTGCTGCTTGCATTGGGCCGAAGCTTGCTGTGGGCATGGGGATGGCCGTGGCTGTCCAGTTGCTTCTATGGAGTCCACCATTAGAATCAGTCTTTGCTCTAGTAAGCCCAGGTTAGAATCACCTGCCTCTTGGGCTTGATATTTGTGCACTCATCACACGTTGTGTTAAGAATTCTGACTGGCTCTGAAACAAAGTCCCTGATGATGACTTTTATTCCAGCCTGCTTTGATTTGAGGTGAGGACAGGCACAAGCTAACGTTCTAATGAAGATGCCTTTCTACTAGCAGCAGATTACACCAAAGCTCCCTGATAACGTTTATAAATAAAGAACCAGTGTCTTGCTTCCACGCCATGATGGTCTAACCTTACAGTACAATTCTGTGCCTCCGAGGCATCTCCACTCAATTGCTATACCTCAAGCTTCTCAACTCCTCATTCCCTTCTAGCTCCTGATTTTATTATTTTCTCCTTCTGAGTTCCAACCTTCTTCCTTGCCTGGAAACTTCTGCATCAGCAACCACCTTGTTTTCCCAGCTTATGTGAGTTCTTCCTGTTTTCACCCGGACTTGATGCCCCAGCCTGTCTTATCTCCTGAACCTTGCATTACTGAGGCAGGGAAGAATCAGCATTTGCAGCCTTGGAACCAGATAGGATATAGAATTATGTTGTATTTCTAATCTGACCTACTCTTTGGCATGCCAGGGATTATCTCTAGATGCCCCTTTGCTGCTGAATTGGAATACACATTCTTCTACTCATCACCCTTGGTGACCTTCTCTGGATGCATTTATATGGAGGTCTTCTCTGCAATGGGCAGAGTGATTTTTTGTGACGGGATCTGCTCTTTTCAGGGCGTGGGTGGTCTGACTGTTCAGTGCTGCAGTTTTATTGAGGATTTTGTATGCTACCTCTGCTTAAGGGTATTTCTGGGCACTGTTCTACCTGATTGAGAATTACAGAATTAAAACTTTGTGACTCTGGAGTCCTGAGTTGGAAGCTTAGCTTACCACTTATCACTGTGTCACCTGGACAAAATGATTGAACATCGCATCTATGTCTCAGCTTCCTCATCTTCTGTAAGGTGGCAGTTACAATAGTACCCACGTCATTGGAATGTTGGAAAATTAAATGACATAATCCACATAAGGTTAATAGACTACCTGGCATATAGTCAGCACTCAGTGACTAGTAGCCACCTGAATTTTTTTTCTCACTCCAAAATTCTGTCTAAACACTTTTAAATTCTGTTTGTAATAACCCAGGGGTGTTTCTTTTGGTTCTGTTTATAATACGCTTTCTTCCTGTAGAAGATGAGTGCACAAATAGAGATTGGGGGCTCTTCACTGTGCACAGCTGTTATACAATGGTGATTAGATTGCACAGCGTTTGATCCTTCTTAGACTAGTAGCAGAGATTGGGACACATTTTACAGGTTTTGGGACCAGATCCTGTAAGAGACAGATGAGCATGTTCTCAGAGCAGTCAGTGCTCATCGGCTGGTACAAGCGTGATCCTCTAATCTTGCTTTAGTTCCCACCATGAGCTAATGAGACTAGCCACCAGGTCCAAATCTCTATGGCTGAAATTACCTTGTAGTAAGACAGAGATTTCTCTGTGAGATGGCAAACCCAGGCATGATGCTGGCTACAAGAGGAGTGAAGACAGAGGCAGAAATCCGGGATTTCAGGTAACTCTATTCTCACTATCATTTCCATCACTTCTTGTCTCTGGAAGTCAGAGGGAGCTGTCAGGCCAGAGGTCCTAAACGTAGAAATTATACACAAGGGATTCAACTTACCTCCTGGAAGTGGCTCAGAATACTCGAGTCCTGCCTGGCACCCTAGATTCAAAACAACACATTTTGAATATTAAAATCAGTGCAGGAAATAATGATGTATAAAACAGTATTCCCAGCTCCACACATCTGCTGTCGAAAGATAACAGATCACAGAGGCTGCATCTTTATTCTATTTCTTAAGGCCAGCACTCCCAGTAACCGGTAAGAGGTTTTAAAAGGGTGGGCAGGGTCGTAGTGTGCTTAGAAAATACCATGGCAGATTCAAGAAAATCCCGTGAGAAGCTCAGTGGGGAGCCAACTGTTACTCTCAGTTTCACGGTGGTCCACAGAAAAGCCATCAGGCTTTATGATCTGCCCCTTTCACAATCCCATCCTTCTGCAATTACCTGATAGAAACTGAGCCAAAATGAAGAAAAAGGCAAAGACAAAATAAGACATCTTTCTGCTTAGGGTCATCTCTGAGGGAAGCCTCTTCAGAGCAGAGGTTTGGGACCTCTCTGAGAGGACAAGAGGCTCACTTATACTTGAAAGTAATGGGGAACGCTCTTGGTCAGTGAAGTGAATCAATAAAGAAAGCACATTTATATGCTCCATTTCCCAGGATCAAGGACTGACATGATGCACAATAACCCTTGGCCTCCATAAAGCCTTGTATTCTGGAAGCTCTGGTCAGGGTAGTGCAAGGAACACGAGGCCAGGAGCTGGAAAACCAGGAGCCACCCCGATCCTCCCAATTCAGCAAGCAGGAGCCTCCTACTCCATTTCTCTCTCAGAATTTACTCTTCTCTTCCATTGAATAAGGAGCAACCGCAGTTGCTAAGAGACAACACAGTTCTTCTGCCAGCCTCTCAGGCTTGGTGTCAAGCTCTAGTGATGATGATGGGGACATGCTTGGAACACAGGGAAGGCTTGGAAGGAGGACTGGTGCCCTCTAAGAGGAGCCCAAGAAGCAGGCACTGTTCCTTCCCCGGGTCTCATTTGTACTACCTGTCAATGCCCCCAGGAACAAAGCGGGGAGGGGCATCATTTCGCCAAGTGAGCTCTGAATCCCCAAGCCTGTAACAATGTCCTAGCAGCCCGAAGCCAGAATTACCACATCCTTCTCATGTTTCAAGAACATGGGTATCAAAATTAACAGGTATCACACTGCACCCCCAAATAAGTCCCATCCTATTGCCTATGCTTATGCAAGGCTCTGTTCTTCACTTTGGGAAGGCAAAATGGGAGCACTGAACCAGGCAGACTAAAGTCAGGTCGGTTTAGCAAGTATGTGACCGGGGGCAAGTTGCTTACTTGGTTGAACCTGTTTCTGAACCTTAAAATGGGGATATAATAAAGGTACTGCTTCATAAGATATTTAAAAGGACTCACTGAAATGAGTATCAAGTGGCTATCAGACCCCATGCTTGGACTGAGTGCAGATGTACGTAGCGATGGGATGGGTGTGTCTCAGTGATAACGGTGCCATGGTGTAGGCGGGCAACTCGGCAGGAGCAGACCTCTCCCGAGCCCCCAATTCAATACTGATTCCCTCCCAGCACAGATGTTGACCTAAGAGCTGCCCGGTCCCCGTGGGTGGGAGTGGCAAGCTCACGGAAGAAACACACCTGGCTTGACTCTCTGCAGCGAGGCATGGTGGTCCCGCGACAACTGGCAGGACCTGTGAGGGTCTGCAAGTGCCCTGCAAGTATCCTTGTGCCTGAGGAATTGTGACATTAAATAGCAAAGAAAAATTTCTATGGCAGAGGAACTCCGTTCCTTTAATGGCGCCTTTTTCTGGTTCTTGAATATGGGCCTCCCATTTTTATTATGCACTCAGGTCAGCACATTATGTAGCTGGTCCTGACCTGGAGTGAACTTCTAGCCTTAGAAAAATAAGATGACTCTTGCAACTCTCAAATTAAAGGGTTGGGCCTTGTCATGGGTATCACAAGACCTCCTTGCTACATGAACGGGCCAAAGAGGCCCCTGTGTAGTGGTCCCTAGGGCGGTCACTTCTATAGCTCTAAGCCCCCTGCTGCAAACTCAAATTCTTCCACACCTGAGGGCTTCGAGTAGGGTGCAAATAAGCATTTGTTTAGCCACTTAGAGCTTGCCTGCTTTGCATGCAACACAAAATGCCCCCAACATCTGTTAATGTAGATAAGACAAAGCCCATAGCTGTAAGACTCCAAATGGCCGCAGCCCTCCTAAGGGCTGTGATCCCAAGACTCCCCACCTTGCTGCTGAGAGGTATCATCTAGACACGTGAGCCCCTCTCTGGTGCCCCTCTCCCCTTGGAGTTCCCTTACCCTTTAGGGTGGATGCCTCATGCTACCATCTCTGGGAGGGCCTTCCCCCCAGGCAACCCTGCCCAGGTGCCCCCTGATGACACCTCTCTTCCTTGAGCAGCCCCCAAACCCTGGAACTCAGCACACTCCAGCCCTTAGAATTCACCCACTCGGAGGCGTCTGTCCTCTCCACAGTGAGGTGGGAACAAGACGGCTCTTAGCCGTTGCAGTGCCCCACATGTCCCTTAGGAGAGTTAGTTGGCTCTTTGGAGTGCTCAGACAAGATTACATGTGCCATGTCTGAATATCTGTGTCCCGGCAACATTCATGTGGAAACCTAATCCCCACAGGGATGGTATTTGGAGGTGAGCCTTGGGAATGTGATTAGGTTAAGGGCCCTCATGAATAGGATTATTGCCTTATGAAAGGAACCCCAGAGAGCTCCCTGTCTCTATCCTCCAAGGGAGATCAGCGAGAAGTCAGCCATCTGCAACCCAGAAGAGGGTCCTCACCTGCACCTGGCCACGCGGGCGCTCAGTCTTGTGTCTCCAGCCTCCAGAACTATGAGAAATGAATATTTGTTGTTTGTGAGCCACTGCATCTGTGATGTTTTGTGACAGCGACTCAAAGGGACTGAGACACCACCTGAGTTTAGAGGAGAAGCCATGTGAAATCCTACCACCAAATGGGGTTCCCATAACTCAGTAACGTTTATTTGTGTCAAAGTCCAATTATGATTCCCTTAAGTTTGCAACCTTCACTTCCTGATGAATCAGACAGGCCTTAAGAAGCAGAGATAAATGACATAATGGGATAATAAATAAGACCAGTGAGACTGTGTGTCACTGAAAATGTTTGGAAGTTGGTCTTTTCTTATGGATTTAAATCTTTTTGATTGAGGATTGGAAGGGAATAGAGAAAAGTTAAAAATGTGTCCCTTTTCTTAGAGTATTTATGTATTCAATCATTTATTGATATCAGTATGGCACAAGGAAGTAAATGGATGGTTTTGTCCAGATCACATACAAAAACCATGTTTTCAAGAACACAGCAAGCATCTATTGCTTTTCGGGGGTTTATGATTATTTTAACAAACACTTCTAAGGTATTTCAACTTTTAGTAGCAGTAATAATAGGGGGCTGATGATGAGGGAGGCTCATCTCCCTAAGGTTGCTTTAAAGAGAGGTATTCCACAAGATGGAAGTGTTAAAGTGGATGATTCAGGTCTTTCCACCCACTTAGTTGATTTACTCCAGATTAGGAAAAAGAGGTAATCAAATTAGTGGGAGACTATGACGTTCAGAGTATATGGATATTTTATATATATATACATAAGTACATATGTATAATATGTATGTGTGTGTGTGTGTGTGTGTATAGTCTTAATCAAATATCCCATAAGCTCACAACTATCCGGGGAGCTGTTTAAGGATTAAATAAGATAATGTATGTAGCACTTTTTTTTTTTAAGATTTATATACTTATCTGAGAGACAGAGAATGATGGGGGGCAGAGGGAGAGGAGAGAAAGAGAATCACAAGCAGAATCTCTGTTGAGCACGGAGCCCGATGCAGGGCTCAATCCCAGGACCCTGACATCATGACCTGAGCTGAAATCAAGAGCCAGACACTTGACTGACTCAGCCACCCAGGCGCCCCTGTGTAGCACTTTAAAAAAAATAAATAATAAAACATAAGCTTCAGTTGAGCAACTTGCCAAGTGTACACAGTTCACAAATATTGGAGCTGGAATTCAGATCCCACTGACTCCATTATGATATTATATAATTACTCTCATTTTACATATGAGTGAACCAAAGCTATTAAGGAGTAGAGTCAAGATTAGAAATCCAGACTGCCAGATTCCAGATCTTTCATTCCTGCTGGTGTATCTATCTACCCCTGGTCATCAAGTCACCCTCTACTCTGTCTTCCCTTCTTCCCCATTGTCCTTGTTGTGAACTTTCCAGAATCAGAAAAACAATGAGCTGCAGCCTACCACCCACTGAGATGTGTGGGCTCTACTCAGTGGAGCATGGACAGGCTCTCATTTCTGACATGCCTCGTTGATCAAGATGTTCTTTGGTTTAGAGAAGTGTATAAATGTTTGCTTCTCTTCTATCATGGACACTGTGCTGATCTTTCAAGACCCTGCGAGTCATGAGGACGTTCCTCTTTCTCTTTGTTGTTCTCTTCCTTCTGGCCCCAGGTAAAACCAACATCTTTGCAGGGAAGGTTATAGAGGTGGTGGCCCAGAGACAGGTCTGCTTCAAGTGAGCACCTGGGTGTGCTCAGCCTGGTGACCCTGCAGGGGAACATTTGCTACAGGAGGTGATTTTCGTTGAATGCCTCTTCTGTAAATCCCTTTCATTTTTCATTATTGTCTAGGATGGGGTATTACAGGGTTGAAGAAAGAAAGCTATGCCAGAAAAGATGCCCTTTGGTCCCCAGCTCCATGCTCACTAACAAAAACAAAAATTTGGGGAAAAAATATAAAAACAAGCGTAGGCATCAGTGGATCTTTTAAAAAATAATTGTGATAGAGATGGAACAGGTAAGGAAAAGAGCCAGAGAAAGGAGTGCTGGACAAGGAAAGGGGTGGAGGTCAGACTCTGTGTTCGTGCCAGGTCAAACAATACCCAGAAATCCAACGTACACATTGGAAACCGAGCAAGGCTCCCTTTTCAGACCAGTCAGACTTATTATATAATTAGTTGACACAATATGCAAACATGTAATAAACAGTTATCTAATAAAAGCAAATGGAGCTGACCTATTTATGTGCCATACACACACACACACAGAGTTCCATTAACCTCTAGATGGGTGCATGTGATGATCCATTCAAAGCCTTGTACACACAGATAGATGTACTCTCCCTTTGCAGAGGCTTTCTGTTTCTGGACCATCACTGTCAATTGGATGTAATACAAGAGCTTTTGTCAAGAGTGAGGTCCAATACCAATTGTTCAATTGACAACTGACCTTACAACACTAAGAGGGTAGCTGGAGTCCCCTGCAGTGGGAGCCACAGTTCACTGAGCTTTGAAACATTGGAGTATGTGTACTTATGAACTTAAATGCTGATGCTAGAAATGATTAGGCACACGCTGGTACCAATCCACCTGGTTTTAGTTTTACGTATGAGTGAATTAGCCACCTTTATATGTCGATCTCAGTTTCAATTTGTGTACATCAGATGCTGTCTTTATGTATCCCGGGATTAGGTAAAACTCTAAAATGTTGATTCTGATAAGATGTGTGTCTGTCCTTAACTTGAAGGGGGCTGCTCCTACGATTGCTACTGGTAAAATACTAAGGCCAGAGCAGGTATTCTGTGCAGAACAGACAAGAGGAGTCTTGGAGAGCCACTCCCAGCATCCGCCCTTACCTGCTCTTGAACACATTTGGTGAAATGTGTTAAAGAAATTTGATTGAGCCTTTCTAAACAATGTTTTTGCTTCCACACACAACAGTAAATGTTTCCCTTTCTATATATTTATCCTTGTTTACTCCAGTCTTGGACCATCTCCCCAGCCTCAGACTTGCCCTGCTCTCACCAAGGATCACTTTGACAGTGTTGGGAAGTTACCCACCCTGGAGGGGTTTACAGGAATAAGGTGACCATTACCCCAATAGATTCTGATAAAAGAACGATAGCTTCTGCTTCTCAACCCCCCCCCACAGCCTTACCCCAAATACCAGAAGATAAATCTCTTCGTCCTGGTCCTTAATCCACGTATGACAAAAAGATAGAAAAAATCAAAGAGAAAATAGTTCCCTACTATCTCATCTACTGTCAGGGCGAGACACTATGGCAGCTCGTAAAGCAATCTTCACTAGCCAGTTACATGACCGTACCTGGTAACTGGACATATCTGAGAAGAGAATTAATCCAGGTGGCTCCTTCCCTTGTATAGCCAGGAATGCATTTTTTGATGAGAAATGCTTCAAACTTAACGGGAGATGCGTGAATTCTTGTCGGAAAAATGAAGAACTTGTTGCTCTCTGCCAGAAGTCTCTGAAATGCTGCCTGACGCTCCAGCCATGTTGGAAGAGTAAAGATGATTAAATCTGAAGACTCTGGCTTTCCAGAGCGACATAAATGACCTAGTTTTGTCTTCTCTTTACTCTGGCCTCTTCAGTGAGAAGACACCTCAATAAAAATAAATGAATGTCTTTTATCAATTTGTCAAGTGCTTCACTTAGAATAAGGAAATGTGAGTAGCTAACCTTGATGGTCCCTGCCTACTGGCTTCTTTTTCTGTAATTTTTTGGTAAGGGGATTTTCCCAAAACCATCTGATATTTCTTTTTAAAGGGGACTGGTAAAGACTATAAGTCAACAAACCTCTAGCTTGTCCTCAGGTGTCAGCCCCAACCACCTGTTGAGATAGAGGATAGATAAATGGATGGGTAGAGAATTGAACATATATCTATACAGATAGTTATATTAATGACAAATAGATAGCAGATAAATTTACTTATTAAGGACTCTCATGTGTCAGACACACATCTAAATTAATCATCTTGACTCCATGGCTTTAATTGGAGACAGTTAAATACTCCCTATGGATTTGTCCCCATCCATAAGTCTGGAATCAAATTTGCTGATGGACAGAGGGATTGTAAGTATCTAGAGTTGACAATATCTCCAGGGACCTGGGTCCTGGTCCCAGATTGACTTTCTATGATTTGCCAAATTACTGCCTGGCACTAAGCTTTCATATTACTCACTTCAGGTAAGGATTCCTGGTCGTGTTCCACAGGCCTAAGATCCAGCCTTGGTTCCCTGCTGGATCAGAAATCTTGCCTTATTTGCCTCTTGATTCCTCAAGGTCAATGTATTTAATCCTGTTAGAATCAACCATCTTTTTTAATGACATTTTTCTGTTTTGAGATAATTATAGAGTCATATATAGTTGTAAAAGATGATACAGATACATCTCTACCTTTTAATCCGGTTTTCCCAATAGCACAACCAGAGTGCAATATGACCACCAAATATTGACAGGATACAAAACAAGTCCATCACCACAGAGACCCCCGCCATGTTGTACATTCAGAGCCACTCTGCTTCCTGCCTCCACTTCCACCTTAACTCCTGTGAGATTAATCTGTTCTCCACTTCGACAACTTGTCCCTTCAGGAGTGTCAAATAAATGGAATCATACCGAGGTAACTTCTGGGAATTGGCTTTTTACTCATGATAGTTCTCTTTTTACTCACAAGAACAAGAGATTCTTCAAGTTTGTTTCATGTCTCAGGACATCTTTCCTCTTTGTTGTTGCGTGGTAGTCCACAGTATGGATGTACCACAGTTTAACCATTCACCTGCTGGAGGACAGCTGGGTCCTTCCCAGTTTGGTGCTATTTCAAGTAAAGTTGCTGTCAACATTTATGTTTTTTGAAGGTTTTTTTACAGATTTTATTTATTTATTTGAGAGAGAGGTAGCATGAGAGAACACGAGGAGGGAGGGAGGGAGAAGCAGGTTCCCGCTGAGCAGGGAGCCCAACAAGGGGCTCGATCCCAGGACCCTGGGATCGTGACCTGAGCCGAAGGCAGACGCTTAACACACTGAGCCACCCAGGTGCCTGACATTAATGTTTATAGGTTTTTGAGCAAACACAAGTTTTCATTACTCTGAGATAAGTGTCCTGATATGCAATTGCCAGGTCCTATGTTTGCAAGTTCAGTTTTTATGAGAGAATGCCTTATTCTCCAGAGTGGCTGCACTGTTTTAAGCTCCCACCAGGAATGTAAGCATGGCCTTTCTTATCCACACTGTCGTTGACGTCTGCTGCAAAGAATTGTCACTATTTTTTTTTTTTTGCCAGTCAGATAAGTGTGTATCAACAGCTTGTGTGTGATTTTAATTTGAATTTCTCTAAAATCTAATGGTGTCTCACACCTTGTCCTGTGCTTTTTTTTTTTTTTTTTTTTTTTGCCATTTTCCTATCTCCTTCAGTGAAATGTGTGTCTCATACTTATTTTGTAATTGGACTTTTTCTTGTTGGATTTTTTCTGTTGAGTTTTGAGAGTCCTTGATATATTCTTGATATGGGTCATTGGTTGGAAACGTGGTTTACAAATATTTTTCCCCCAATCTACAGCTTGTATTGTTAACCTCTTGCTAGGTCTTTTGCAGAGCAATTTTTTTTTTTTTTTTAGACTTTGTGAAATCCAACTTATTTCTATGAATTGTGGGGTTTATATGGGGTCAAGTCTAAGAACTTTTTGGGTAGCCCTAGATGCTTTTCTCCTATATTCTTTTCTAAAAGCTTAATCATTTCACATTTACACTTACATCCAAGAACCACCTTGAGTTAATTTTTTTAAAAGCTGTAAGATGATCAGTTTTGTTGTTTCCATTTCTGTCTTTGCCTGTGAGTGTTTCATTGCTCTAGCAGTGTTTGTCCAAAAAGTTGTCTTTTCTCCATTGGATTCCTGTTGCTCTTTTGCCAAACACTGGCTTGTAGGATTTGACTCAACTGATTTGAAAACTTATGTCCAAACAAACTCCTGCCTGAAATGTTTATGGCAACTTTGTTCATAATCACCCCAAACCGGAAGCAACCAAGATATCCATTCACAGGTGAGTTGGTAACAAATTGTGGTTCATCCAACTAATGGAATATTATTGAGGAATAAAAAGAGATAAGCTATCAAGTCACAAAAAGACACAGAGGAATCTTAAATGCATATTCCTGTGTGAAAGAAACCAGTCTGAAAAGGTTAGATACTGTATGATTCCAGTTATAAGGCATTCTGGAAAGGGAAAAACTAGGGATCATAAAAAGAGTGATTTTTTGCCATGGTTGCCAAGAGTTGGCCAGGGGTAAAAACAAGGAATACGTTAAGATGGAATACCAGACTATTCTGCATAATGCTAGGGCTTTGTTAAACCCTGAAAACTTTGCAGTACAAAGAGTGAATTTGGGGAAGTCAGGGCTACCCCAGGATGGAATGCAGAATGTGACAAAACTATCTAACTGTGTCATAAATGTGTAAAACAACTTCACTGAAGGTGGGGAGGTTGGTGATGCTGGCCTAGGTGGCTTTGGCAGTGAGTGCTATCTCTCAGTCTACAGACAAAAGAAACTGTATCAATGGAATATTATGCAGCCATCAAAAGGAATGAGATCTTGCCATTTGCAACGACGTGGATGGAACTGGAGGGTATTATGTT